GAACTCGAAGAAAAAAAAAATTAAGCCAAATTAATGATTGTCAATTGGAGAATAGATTCCATGGTTAGTATTTTTATGAAATGTTACATATTGCATACACTTATTTTTACGTCCGAAAAACAATCGTTAACTTTCTGCCAACATTTCAAGACATACCGGATTTTTTGATTAGCAGAAATTGGCAATTTCCTAATTTACTAATAACCTTTATCTTACTAGCTTTTAATATAAAATACTAGTAAACTTCTTTCAATGAACGACACGACTACATGCGAAAAAACCATTAGTTATTAAAACATTCCTTTTTTCCTTTATGTTATGATAAAAATTAACATTTTTTTTACTTTGATTCGTCAATTTAGTAGCATGCTAATTATACCTCGGAAACGAGTGTCAAAAATTCTTCAGGTTTTTTGGGCCTTTTTATACCTATGAAGCGTTTGCTCAGGATTTTTTACTCCAAATTTGTAGCAAGCACCATAATATTATCGATACCAGGAGTTTTTTACAAGTGTATAAATACTCTTATCGCAATGAATGAAATATTTTATAACTAGAGTTTTTGCTATGTTCGTCTATTTCTGAATAGCCTTTGCTTTGCATTGACAAAACTGACAATTGTATATGATGGTTAGCCATATCAATGAAACACAGTATCAACATGTATAGTATTATTACATTATTATTTCGTTAAACAATTTTTTTCCTTGAATGATATCAGGTAACACTTGAATTTCAAATTAAGTCCATCTGTTCTTTAATTAAAATCTAAAAGTTGCGTTCCGCTTTATAAAATATTTTCCTTGGCATAAGTGACTTGTGTTGTGTGGCAATAAATGTTCTAGGATGGATGTCGCCGCATCCGCCGGTTATTATGTTCGCTCCCTTAATACATAGTGCATGCTTTACTATAGCTGTGAAGGTCACGTGTAGTTACAATGAGCAACATCGCGTCATCCATTCTCGTCGTATAGAAGAAATCGGTATTCACGCGTACTTATCGTTAGAAAAAAAAAACAGTAAGTATATTTGCAAGAATGTTAGTAGTTTTTATTGCGTTTTTTAATTAGGCACGGCCGAAGATAAAATGTTTTAATCTGATGGCAGCTACGGCACGGATTTGAATTAGGCTAGCGTCGATACGATCAGAATTGATTGCCGCAGTGGTGAATCCCCAACGACAAGGCTACATTCATAGTTTGTAGGCATTATGACTGCGCTGTTTTAACAAAAAAGAAGTTCGTGAAGTTCAAATTAAAGTTTTTCCAGCCCGGCGTTTCCGAGAATCGTTCTAACGTTTATCAAAATAAGATACCGTGTTTATTTAAGCATAAAACGCACAAAGAAAAGGCATGTAAGTACGTTTTTTATTTTAAATTTCATGAAATTTTAACAATTAGTTTAATAGAAAAAATCATTAATTGTTTTTAAATTGCATGTTAATATCCTAGACCTAGACGATGGTAAGGCCACTAGAAATACATGCGGTCAAAAATTAAAAATAGACCGTTCCGCGTTCGCGGCCTTTCTGAAACGGGCGTATGTCGAAGCGTGTGTGTGTGGGGGGGGAGTGGGAGGTAGTGGGGGGAGCGGAGGCAGACGGCGCGATGACATCACAGCCGCTGCAGCGCGGTGCGACAGCCAACTCTTGCGCAATCGCGCGCCCTTGATCTTGACTGCGTCGCGGCCGCACGCGTGCGTGTGCGCACACTACATTTAAATAGTATACTCGCGACTATATTTATCTTCTCGCATGGAGGCGCGAAACAGTAATCATAGATATAAAATACATCTATGTATCGACTCAGTGCCGCTTTGTTTAGCTAAATATATTTTAGAAATACAATGAAACATTTTTTTAATGTAAGTGCGTTTGCGTTTTACAATGATTTAATGAACTACTACTACATCATTCATGATCTCTATGTTCTCGTACTAACAATAGAGATAAGCAGAGATAAAGGATTTCCAGTTGGCATGATTCAGGCAAACCATAGGGTCTATGTAAACAATCCCACTGGCCAAAAAATGTGGAGAAACAAATATGTAAATTTAGTAAATTATTAATAATTAATGTTTTGTATATTTATTAAATTATTAATAATCATACATTTGAATTGAAAACCGTCTCTATTTCATGTTCAATTAATGGTACTAGACTTTAGACATTTAATAAATTATTTTGCGTTTTCAAATAAATATTACTACTGAGCAAAAAACATACTTGCATACATAAATGCATTTCTTAATGCATACATTGTAAAAAGCTAATTTCCACACACATTTTGAGCATTTCGCATATTTTATAGTCGCTTATCTACGAAATGAAGCTTGAAGGTCAATGCATCGGCAATATTTTACATATTTGCATATAAAGATAAGATCCATTGGCTAGCCGCTAGCCGAATCTAGAAGCAATAATTATAACGGCTCGTAACTCGTATTGGATTTTTGCGCGAATAAAAACGACAAATGTCGATAATCAATATTATAAGTGGTTAGGTAAGCAATTAACAGGAAGTTAGTCTGCGCGTTGTATTGATAAGATGTGGCTGAACGTTATTGTTTTGTCCTATATTATGAAAAAATGTAATAAAAAAACGTAACAAAAATCATGTTCATAACACACGCTATATATCTCTCAAGGATATGCTTATTGCCGACATACGTACATATACGTTTCAGTGAATTGACAAAAATCGTCCATAACTGGCCAAAAAAATTATATATAGACAAGTTACTTTTATTTCTTATTTTAATACTAACTTTTGTCCGCGACTCCGTCCGCGTGTCATTAGAAAAGACAAAAGCAATTAGCCCTTTATGTTCTACCAAACTATCCTATACATCTATGCCAAATTTCATCAAGATCCGTTCAACAGTTTAGGCTACCAACTCTAACAAACATCCATCCATCCATCTAAACTTTCGCATTTATAATATTAGTAAGATTTAGGCCCAAAGATGATGGCCAAGAAAAAGTTTGACGATTAAGTTGATTTAATTAATTTAAATAAGTTTTTATTTCAATTATTTTTTATACTACTAATCTGTACGTGTCGTTTTACATCTTTGCGCTAATACTATGCGAAGTTAACAGAAGTAGCCTATAGTGTTGAAACGTATAGACATCACAGTCGTAAGGAAATATGTAAAGCAATCTGAACACTGCATAAATAAAGTGAAGCGAATTAGAACTGAGTAGGAGTTGTGAGCCCACAACAACTGCACTATCTTATGATTCATGTATTTATTTTAGAATTTTGCCTCCGAGATCACAGACTATATCTAGGATATTTTATGTCTTTATTAACCACTAGCTGTTGCCCGCGACTTCGTCTGCGTGGTATTGAAAAACATACGAACTATATAAAAGTTACGTATCTCGTGGGAACCGGACATTTCTCGGGGATAAACCTTATCCCATCTGTACTCTAGATAAACCTCACTTTGTTTTATATCTGTGCCAAATTTCAATAAAATATGTTGAACCGTTTCAGAATGATCGAGTAAACATTAAAAAACTAAATTAATAAATCCCACGGGAACCGTAAATATTCCCGGAATAAAAAGTAGCCTATGTGTTCTTCCAGACTATGTTTTAAACCTGTACCAAATTTCACGGAGATCCGTTCAGCCGTTTAGGCTACAAACGCTAACAAACCAATCAACCAATCCATCCATCGTAATTTTCGCGTTTATAATATTTGTATTATTACCTACTTTACGCGATTACGAAAAAAACTGAATCTGTATTTCATTATGAAGTCAACCACTCTAAAATATTAATCCGTACATTTTTCAGGTTTAAATGTTGCCTATGCATTATTTAAAATTGTAATTACACTATGTTCTTTTCATAAAGATTCGTCCACCCAGTCACGGTTATTAAACATACTTTAGTAATAATTTTTGGAGAGGCTAGAAATCGAAGTAGGTTATGAAAATGTTAGTCTCTCTACAGCTTTGTGTTTAGTAAGATTGTTTATTCATCCTCTTACTACAATAATTAAAATTCATAATTCCATGATATGTTTTTTCCTTTTAAGATGATTTCATTTTTACAAGAACGTATTATTATGCGCATAGTTTTGAAGTATTTGTAACGAAATGCATTATTCACTAAAAATCAATGATAATTTGCTTTTAAACTACTCAATCTAAATTTGAGTGGAACGGAGGTCAAAGTGCATGGTCATTTTGTCAAACTTGTCTGAGAAAGAACTTTATTTAAATTTTTTTTAAATACACTGGTAAAGGAGGAATAATAGATAGGTATTGTAAAATAGTATAATTTTCAAGTATTTTGTATTATTATCGCGAATACACTAACATGAATAATTTATAACTACTTATATTAATGCGTAGTTAAATTACGGCAGGTGATTTAACGTTTAGGCCGTTTGGATGTTATTTTATAAACTAGCTGTTCCCGTGCGACTTCATCCGCATAAAATTCTGAAAATCTTATTTTATTGTTTACATCTGTCAAATTGCAAATGTAAAAATGACATGATGACAAACCATGGCAACCTTGCTTCCTTGATGTTGGCAACAACTTATGGTCTCTTTCCCACATTAGGGTTTTTATCCAAAATATTTACCCCTAAGTTTCACGGCGTGAAATATTTAGTCTAAAGCATGACGTAAGTGTAGGGCTTTTTATTAAAAAAAAGAGTTATTCGAAAGTATTCTGTGATTGCTGACATCTTAGGCAACACAGAAGTGTGTGTTTACGCTTTATTATATTAGAATAGAATAGAAACATTACATCAAAAATAATTTCTTTATTTCATATTTATTTCTATGCTGTATAAAAAATCGAAAATTAATAATATCTTAATTCAATATATCAAATTAGTAAAACAATTTTAAAATAAAGTTATATCGGTTATTGTGCATTTTGATAACTTGTCTATATTTAAATTGTATACGATTCGCTGACAGACATTATAATGAGGGTACATTTAAAACATGAATTTGTTTATTGTTTTGTGCAGCGGCGGGAGCTAGCTCAGACATGGGAAGTGAGCACTATTGCCTGAGGTGGAACAATCATCAGAGCAACCTGCTGGGAGTATTCAGCCAGTTGCTGCACGACGAGAGCTTGGTGGACGTCACACTCGCGTGTTCCGAAGGTGCCTCTATACGGGCTCACAAGGTTCGATATTGTTATTACATATAATTTAACCGTAGTCCTCCCAAATTGTAGAATGGTAGGTGCTAGTCTTGACCATTGGTCTTCAGACCATTTGTTTACTAGTCGTAAGACTGGCATCAATTTTCTATGACCCATGTATGAACCGTTTCCTCTTATGAGACCGCAACTAAGATGCCAAACGACAGTCTCATACGGCCAGAGTCGCTAAGTTCTACGAGCCGATTTATCGATATGTTCTATCTAAACTAATATTATAAAGAGGAAAGATTTGTATTTTGTATGTATTATAATAACTAAAAAACTACTGAGCTGATTTTAAAAATTCTTTCACCGTTAGAAAGGTAATTTATCTGAAACATTTTAAAATTCACGCGGACGAAGTCGCGAGCAACAGCTAGTTGATCAATATTTTTTTTTGTTACTTCTTGATAAAACAATAGTAAATGTCTTTATTAGTAATAACGGGAACATTGACGAAGTAACTTTGCATGTAGGCCTTAATTGTTGGTTGGCTGCTTCTCGAATTGGGACGTTCGATGAAAGCAAATATTGCCATCCAATTAACCAGATCTCGAGTAGAACAATACAACCTTTCGATATTTTGAATGTTTCATTTTTAGGCGGTCTCAGATACTTAATTAACAAAAGACATAATTCTTATTATATACTGTAACTCCCATAGCCATATTTTAAGTAAGGGTCCCTGCAGACTAGAGTCCTTATAAGCCGTAAGTTTAGTCGAGCATGTATGGAGGTGAGGACGGTTTGTCAATGGTATACAGTGTCTTGTTAACAAAAAGATGACTGTTAATATTTTTTTTTTAGGCTTTTTTGTGAAAATAAAACGATTCAATAGTACAACATTAGTCACACGATTATACGATGAGTTCTTACTATCGTTTCTTTGAATATTAAAAAAAATGTCTAAATCATGCCTTACTTGTAGAAAATGAAATATCGTTAGATATAACTGATTTCCTATTTTATACAGTTTTTAACGTTCTATGAAATTTGAGCATGATTCGTTACGTTATCGTATTTTTTGTATCAACTCATTTCTACTTTGGTAAAATTCTTTTCTATTTGAAAGGCTTCAATTTGACGTTGTTATATTCAATTGAGAAAGTTATGCTTCACTGGTTTGCTTACATACAAAGGGCTAGTTATTTTTTTTTTAAAAAAAACAACGACCGTTCGCTTTTAACGACGGCATACGTTGACATCGGTAACGTAAAATTAATTGGATATTAGGAAATGGTTCGGCTTGAAGGGGAATTAAGTCTCAAACACTGTATGTTTTCTTATTTTACTAGAATTTGCCTTTGACTTCGTTTGTGAGGAAAAAACTGGACCTTTATATAATTGCGTAGTTATTAGATAAATATAACAAGGCAAACAAATACAACTCTATGCTTGAGGAGTATTTATTTCTAAGCTACTTGAGGTATATTATAGTCATACAAAAATATTTTGTTATTTCTCTCAATCTGTACAAAAACTAGGTTTTTGTATCGATGTTTAGACAGTGGAAATCGACTGTGAAAATAATAAGTTTTGTTGTGCTGCACCTGGTATGAACTTATTTTCAAAATTGTTTGTTCATGGTCGAACATTTTCTAAATCAGAGTTGCTTTTTAATTAATACCTTTTCTTGGAATTGCGGTTTGCTTGCGTAGTTTGAAATTTAATGCAAATGATGGGGTCATTAATCCACGGTTCTACCTCACATGTAATTTACATTAATGTTCAGTGAAAAATTATGGCCTTTTTGACTAAACGTGGCATCAAAAAACAAATGCCACATCCATTTCTTTCCGCATGACATCTGGATAACATTACTGAAACTACACTATATTTCACAAATCATAGAATCTATTTTAAAAAGGGAGATGGCATTTTAAAACTCTACAATCTGATTATTGATGTTTCTTGCCGGTTATAAGTATGCTGTACTTTAATAAAATAATATAAATTAAAGTGAGATTTGTAGTGTGAAATTAAAGATTAACAAAATATAATTCCAGGTAGTACTGTCTGCGTGCTCATCGTACTTCCGATCGCTGTTCGTAGACCATCCGTCGCGTCATCCTATCGTGATCCTGAAGGACGTCGGCTTGGAGGAACTACGCACGCTCGTCGACTTCATGTACAAGGGCGAGGTCAACGTCCAGTACTGTCAACTGCCAGCTCTTCTTAAGACTGCCGAAAGCCTTCAGGTAACAAGCGAAAGAAACCCTCTCTTTTCTTTATTATATTAACAACAGGTATCGGATATGCGCGTTTTAAGTCACCTGCTATCATGGACATAAACAATGGCTGGCAAACATGAAATACACGTTATACTTAAATTCCTGTTTTCTACTTATATATTTAATGAAACACCCAAAATGATTTTGTTATTGCCGAAAGACTACTCCACAACACAGTTATTTGATTCCTTAAGATAAAAAAAATAACAGTAAGTTGTTGTATTTTAAGTTAACAAAGAATTGTTCTCTCATTTCAGGTGAAAGGATTAGCTGAAATGACCACTTTAAGCGCAGCCGGTATCGATACGCGAAACGTACAAGAACCAATGGAGGACAGTCAACCCCAAGACATGAGAGAATGCACGGAACCGCACGAGAGGTTAGAAGAGCGAGAAATACGTGAAAGAGAAGAAAGGCGGGAAGCAAAAGAATTGCGCGAGAGAGAATGCAAAGAAAGCCGCGACGTGAGGGAGACTCACTCGAGGGAGAGTAGAGAGGGGCGGGATTTACATAGAGAAAGAGAACAACGAGAACGTGAGCGTGAGCTGAGAGAACCTCGTGACTTAAGAGATTTAAGAGATTCAAGAGAATCAAGAGATTTACGAGAGCCCAGAGACCATAGAGAACTACGTGATTCCCGAGAAAACCGCGATCCGCGTGACTTGAGGGATATACGTGACCTGAGAGATCTTCGGGACACAAGGGATCTGCGAGAAGGTCCAGATGCTTCACCTCCTAGAATATCTCCGCTGCTGTCAGTTCGTAGATTTAGGTCAGAAACATCAATCGAAGCGCCAACACCAATACATCCGTCAATACCGAAAGACGAACCGCCGGACGAACCATTACGTCCGCCCTCTACCGAAGATGACACAATATCCATCCGATCGAATGGTGATAATATAGGTATGTTTAAAAAACAAATAAATAAAAAAGTATTATTACTAGTTAAATAAAAAACAATCAGACTTTTTCAGATAGGCAAAGCATGTTTGTAATAATTTAATCTTTACCTTACTTGTACTTTGATTACGGTACGCTGTGTTGAAGACGTTGACACTTTGACATCTGACAGTGACAGAAACGTTTGACAGTTCGGAGTTGGTAATTTTTGTTATTTCGTACGAGATAGTAGCTTACTTTATTTATTAATTGTAATCTTTCACAAGATGTATTTAATTTTCTTTAACGTTGCTACACACCGCAATAAAACGATGCGTGGCTTACATTTTACTGTCAATTTAAAAAGTCACATTGAACTTGGTATCACTTGAACGACTTTAATTCAATGCCTAAAAGGTAATACACACATTTTAAACATATAAATTACGCAATTTACACAACACTATAACCCTCATTTTCTATATTTCTAGGAATCAATATGACGATAAATAGTCACAGTAGCGGCAGTGCGCTTGGACCACGCTATTCGCCAGTGGAGCAAAGACTGAGCGTTCTGAACGCTTTGCCACATCCTGGGCTACCCCATCCCTCGCATGCGTCGCTGCCGAGTCCAAGAAATGAACCCATTGCTGGTCCTTCAGGGTTGCCACCTGTTCAACAAGTACCACTTGTTAGTCTTCATATTTTTAATATGTTTCTGTTTTTATGTTTTGATATACAAAAAAATATTATTATCACAAATGATAATACAAGGAAAGTGACTTAACTTGAGCAATGCAGTTTTTCTTTGATGGATCATAAAAATGCATTTTGAACATAGAATAAAATAAAAGATTAGCTTATCTTTGCTGATTAGTCATCCTTTAATGTTTTAATCCATTTATGTCGCTGCAAAGAAACAATTTATTAAAATACTACATTTGAAATATATTGTTATTTTTAATAATTACAGTCCCTGAAAAAAGAAATAGACTGGGAGCGGAGTAATGAAGATAAATTAGGTGAAGCATCAACGGAATACCGGATGCCACATGAAACTGTATGTATAATGCTTATGTATATCAATGTTATAGTACTATAAGGGTCTTTTCCACCACTGGCTGATAGCCTTAGATATCTTAAAAATGACCTCACTCAGATAGGGTAGCAAAATCCGATATTTACATATTTTACATGTTGGATTGTTATCTGACTATCTACAATCTGGTGGGACAGACCCTAAATATTGACATTTTTGAAATGTAATCACAATAAATAACATAAAAGTTATTAAATAAATAAATTTGAATTTACAACTGTGTGATACACTTTTAACTCTTTGTTATTGTGTTTCAATATACATAGAGTTATACTTTGCTTTATTTGTTGTGATTACTTATATTTCTGTGTACCCTGTAATTTATGCATGCTGTACATTTTTAGTTTAATGTATTAAGGCTTTAAATGGTTTAGGAAATTTAGGTCACAATGCATGAATATTATTTTCGAGCCCAATGTGAAAAGTATAGTATAACCTATAGACCTTATCCCGACCACAAAATTTAAATGATAAAAGGCCTCAGATAGCTATTTATTGGGTTAGTGTCGTAAGAGTATCGAAATTTAATTTGAAATACCATATAAAATAATATTCCAAGTCTATTAAAATTAATATATAAAATATAAAAAAAAACTTTTAACATAAACTTGTATGAAACAATCTATAAGCTAAATCTATGATCTATATTAAAAAGATAATTGAAAAATTTACTTTATGACTATCTTTATTTGTAAACACCAAATTAAATTAATAAATCATGTTATGAAAATCCTTCCAAATTATCATAAAAAGTAACATTTAATATGAATACAATAAATTAAATGTGATTCTTCATTAATCACATTTGCTAAAAGCTGTTAAAACCTTCTCGAAATTATATTGCTAGGTTAATGAAATCTCTCAAAGTAAAGTGTCTACTTTATAGCTTGAGTGGATAACTCAATGTGAAAAATTGTCTGATAGTAATTTACTTCTAATAAAAAAATGATTCAGATTTCAATAAGTATTGTTATGTTTCTGAATACAATTTATCTAATAATATAGTATGTGGGTGTCGATGTGTACTTAGAATCTGTGTGCTTCGCCCGCGTTGCAATGCATGCTTGTCGATGTGCCGCGCTAGATTTGACAATCGAGTACTATGCCTTGCTGTCAAGAAGTTGACCTTCATTTTGTTGGCCATCGTTTTTATATCCATTCATTTTGTTTGATATATATTTTGGGCAGTTTTATTTTATTTGATATTTGGCCATTGCATACGTATGTACGAATCAGTGATTCAGTACGCGCGCGCGTTGCTAAACAACAAGGCTTTACGCGTAGCCGGATCCCGGGTCACTCCTGCACAGATATTGGGCAAAAATGAGCGTCAACTTCTTATTTAGATAGTAAATTCCTAAGAATATAACGAGACTGCATCTCAATTTAGAAAGTAGTGGTAGAGACATTGCACACCCTTTGGTCCGTTTACGAATCGAACCAGAGAAAAAGAAGTTGATGTTCTTTTTGTGGTTGCAGGAGTACGAAGGGTCCGGTAGGGGGCGAATCGATGAAGGGGAGAGAGGGTATCCTTGCATACACTGTGGCGCGGCGTTCCCTCACCAGAACAAATTGGCCAGGCATATACTGACGACGCATACGCTAGAGTCGCTAAAGTATCGAGACGCGATATTGGGCCGACCTATGGGCTTGCCGATGATCGGGCAGTTCAGCGAGCCCACGTACATGATGCCCGCGGAGGAGACGCCCATCGACCTCGACATCGGCCCCGTGGAGCCGGGCAATGTGGTGCTTTGCAAGTTCTGCGGCAAAAGTTTTCCCGACGTGTCTTCCCTCATCGCGCATTTGCCGGTGCACACGGGCGACAGGCCGTTTAAATGTGAATTCTGCGGCAAAGCATTTAAGTTAAGACATCACATGAAAGATCACTGTAGAGTGCATACAGGTAAGTTACATTCAAATTTTAAACCGTTTTCTTTTCTCATATATTACCCACGTTAGTAAATTCTACATTGTTTGATTTTGAATTTTAGGGGAACGGCCTTTTCGTTGTGTTTTATGCGGCAAGACATTTTCGAGATCGACCATTCTTAAGGCGCACGAGAAGACACATTATCCAAAATACGCTCGGAAGTTCCTCTCACCGAGTCCAGTGGATACGGAGGAGGAGAGTCCCCATCAATGAGTATGGGAGGGCGCAGGGGGCGGGGCGGGCGCGCGGGGGGACGCCCCGCCCGGTTGTAGTTGTTACGTCAATAGTCAATGGTGAGAGTCGATTGAACAAATGGTGGACAATATGTTGTAAATTAGTTAAGAATGTGATTAAAACGCCGCAACTGTGATCTGAATGATATGAATAATATTTGATATTTCACTAATAGATAATTGACACACAAAGTTGTTGATTCTTCGTTTTAGTTAAAGGAGAGCGTTATTGGTTTTATCTTCTTTGCTTGTTTTTTTATAGTTTTCAATATTAGGTGCTTACTTTACGCATTAGATGATACATTTTAACTCAACAAATGAGTACCTTAGATGGCATAGCCAAAGTTAGGTAGAGAAGTAAAATTACTTTAAAAGAGATTTAACGCAGCTTGCTTCTTTATGTTTACCTTTTACAAATTAACTAACATCAGTGCATCGTAAATATTTTTTTGTTAATTTTTAGTACGCGATAAAATAGGCTTTCGAAATTAAAATAAATTGTAAAATATCGTCTTGATTTTAGAATCGTCATTAATATTTAGACTTGCATATTTATATTAGTATTTCCCTCAGAAATGATTTTATAAAAGAAATTGAAGATTGATTGTGAGTGCTTTAATTATAATTAGAGTCTATAAATATCGCACTCAGTATATAGTTAGTGAATCGTTAACAGTTAGGGATTTGAGGTTTTGAGTAATTTTATCTTTCGAGTATATCGACGCACGCTCCCCTGAGGTAACATAAAAGCAATACTACGACATATAAAATGTAAATACGATATAGTTTGATACATATTATCGGATTTTTAGGAAATTTATTAGAATTATAATGGCTTCGTTAGCTCTGTTTGGATACACGGGGAGGGTTGTGGGATGTGTGATCATGGGAATCAAAGCTTTAAGCACCCTTTTTGTTTTCTTAACTCTCTATGCCTTTTATTCCTATTCAATTTGAATATAAAGACATTTTTTTCAAAATGTTTAAACATGTTTAACACCATAAATAAGTATGACTTATTTTTGAATAGGAAATTTGAAGGCATAGTGTCAGCATGCAAGTAATTAAAAATTTCTTGTCTATTTTGATACTGTGAAACCAGATTCACTTGTTATTTTTGTAGAAAGTTTCAAATGCTACATATCCATATCCACTAGTTCTAAATATTGCCCATATATTTGTTTTTATATATTTATACATATGTTAGGGAAAATGTCATGTAATAAAAAGTCTGTACTGAAATTGACACTATAATGTACAATTTTCAATGACGTTTACGTTCCATCTTTTATTATTATTTTACATCATTCGTACTTAAATTTAAATCAGCAATTTAAATTGATGTCCATGGGCATCGAAAATTATCTCGCTGTTCCCGATGTTATATCAAAAAACAAAACTTAAATATCAGTTCTCATATTATGACATTTACCCTGACATATAGTTGTTTAGCTCTAACATAGATCACATAAGCATTTGAAACTTCACAAATACTGTGTTCAATAAATAAGACAGAGTTAAATACAGGGATATTGTATGAATGTTAATTTACTAGACACAAATTTAATTTGAACTCTACTGTATATGGCCTTGAGACTAAAAAGTCTCATTGGCCATGTGTAGTATTACATTTGACGTACAACCAATATTTACTTATTGAAGCTTTGATTTGGCATTGATAGAGGAACTGGCAAGATGGCGGCGCGTTCGGCTGACATATTGGCAGCGGTGTTGCCAGCTCAATTTTACTTTATAGATACACACAATATCAATTGCAATTATTATTAATTGCACCCTAAAGAAAATAATTTTACCTTTGTAATTTGTTTTGTATATAAAAAATGGTAGAGTTGGCAACACTGCGTGACAGAGCAGAAAGTATAGATTTCATTAATCCCTAACGAGAGGTTGCCATGTTGGGCAGTCTGTCGCGTTAGGGCACATTTATAAATTGCTAAGGTAACTCTGTCTTGAAAGTATATTTAGACATTTTAATGACCCAATATCATTCAGCTGTGAAGTATAAACGGTTCTTCCTAGTCTTTAGACATAATCGATTTCATAATATTTATAGGGATGACATATCATTTGATTGTTTGGTAGAGTTTTTAAAATTATTTTAAAAAGTGTAAGTCACGAAATTTTATTACTGCGAAATTTACGGCTAAACTGATATTGATGGGGCTTCGAATAGATGTTTGTAATTGTAGAAAGTTATTCTGAATTTAATATCTGTCAAAAGTATTATGGTAATTTAGAAAAGAACTGTGATATATTTTTTTAAATAAGTACGCAACATCTGGGCGAATAATCGATCTCAGTTGTGATTGGAAATTTTTAGGAAATTAGGGGTGAAGGATGTCGGTGTTTTATGTTAAAATTATTTATTTAATAGTTCAAATAGATGCTGTGCTTTGAATTTCGCTAAGAAATATAATTTAAGAATGTTTAAAATATGAAAAATCTTTATTACATTCGGGCTTCAATAACAAGAGTGAATTAAAAAAGGAAAGTATGCAATTTCCCACAGATCTCATTCGTTTAAGATTTAGACTAAGTCAGTAGTGAATCATTTCTAAGCATTGTTATTTGAATAGTAATTCTTTATTAATTTATTTTAATAAACTATAAGTGGTTCGTTTTTCGAATTGTTAATGCACTTAATTGTTTTAATTCTATTGTAATTTTTAAATTCCACCGATATCGTTAACTCCATCAAAATTATCTTTGTAGGGAATGCTTTTATATGCAAAAGTTGGGGATACCTTAGCAATTTAGAAAAACATCATACATATGATAAAAAATGAGGGTAGTTCAAATTAATCGCCGCGGTAGTTTTAGATGATTCTTCCAATTGCACGTGGTAATGTAATTAGAATATAACAAGTGCAGTATTTATACGGAAAGTTTATATAATCATTTTATTTTATTGTTTACGGAGTTAACAGAGCACTTGATACCATGAATTAAATGTCTGGACAATCGTAAACATTCCATACAGATAAAGGTCTATTCTGTAAACCACTGGTCTTTCAAGTTTTTTTTTTCTATATATAGTAACACTGATATTTAAGTAAATGCGAAGAACCATACAATTTTATATTTAATGTTCGTAGAACAAAATTATAATTGCAGTAAAAATGTTTTCAGAATAAATTTGTATTTGGAAAAATGTAATTACGTGAATAGTTAGTGAATAGATTGGTAGATGCGCTATTCCTGGAGTTAGTGTTTTGTACGCGTTAGTGAGAGTGAGACAACTGTTTCATTACGCGTAAGTAAGAAAGAGACACAACGGTTAGAAGCAATCTGCATAAGCACGGTACAAATACAAATATTTGAATCAATACGCGTATGTAAGACACAACTGTTTGTGAATGTTTCTATTTGAAAAGCTGCACTGTTTTTATTTTCCGGCGCCGAATGTTACCAATCTTTATTAGCAATAACCTTTATTAATGTTCCTCTTCTTATTTTAAGAAAGATTGAATATTTACAATTTACATAATAAAAATAATAGCAATAAATAAATGATGAAGATGCGAATTAACAAATTTGTACGTTTTTATCGAAATAGTTTTTTATAATAGAACAGAATGCAGTTTAAAATATTTCGTTTCCTAAACTTTCAGAGGTACTATTTATTGATTAAATAATGATATTGTTATAATTATATTTCTATGTATGGACATGTATATATGTAGGTGGAGAGGGGAGTCGTTAGTTAATTGTACTGAGACGTACAACAGCAATAGTGTTATATCAACCCTAAGTGCAGTTATTCAAATTTTAACATTTTTCTACTTGTTGCCACGTCCCTGCGAAGTTGACACGCCATTAGCACAAAAATAGATCTATCTATAAAAAAGATAAAATAAAATATATATATCAAATTATTGTAGATATATTTTTTTCAGATATCTACTGAGCATGATAAAATATAAGGAGAAAAATTAGCACGAAATATTTGATGAGTTGAAATAGTTAAGACTAGATTCGTTTTTATATCTTAAATTGTGACCACAGTTTTATATTTAGAGTGCCTCTTGCCTGTACAAGACTTATATAAAGGCTGCAAATTCACGAAATATACATAGTTTATGTAGGGTTGATCTTTTAGCGGCAAAAATGCAATTTTATGGTGAAAATTGTAAGTTGCGTTATGATATGTGACTTGCTTTGTTTTGGTGTTTAAATTGTTTTCAATCATTGTGGAGGTCTTCAAAATTAAAATGTTGGGTCCCACCAACTTTTTTACTCACACCACAAAAATTACAACCCATATGACATGCAATCAATTTGTTTGAATGCTTTTGGCTAAAAAGTTGCAAAAAATTCTTTCTGATATGGTGTCTGGAAATAGCTGGATTTAATCGATTTGTTGTAATAAAATGATGGGGCGCTCCATTTTAATTTGAATGACCAGTACCGACAGCCCGATGTTCCCAAATCAAGCGCCTCTTCGCAGCTTGCGCATTCCAAACTTGTGTAAAAGTGTGGTTAACAAACAAACCAGTTAACTTATTTTCATGACCAATCATAGGACAATAGACTTTTTGTATAGTCTTAGATAGTATTGTTAAGTTTCACCCACGAGATGGCGTAGGGAGCCAAATCGCGAAAGCGAACTCTGGTTCTTTGTGATTTTCTTACTATGTTTTTAAGTGGCATACCTAAATATAGAACTTATATTGCAATTTTTCTAAGTTCCTGTAGGTGTATTAATTATTGTATGTTGGTACAATTTGTTTATTAATTGTAATTTGTTTATTATAATTTATTTAGATTTAAACTTCTCGATCTATCATTCGTATCGGCATAATATACAACTCAGATCGCATACGTCGAATGTGTCAGTAAATTGTTGGATTATGATTTCGTGAAATATTATTTTCTAAATTAAAGTGACGTATTCTTATTTGTGTATTATGTTTTATAATAAATTTTAGCACAAGTTCAAATAACGTAGGCCCACTTTATTTATAGAGCTTAGCTACCATCGTCCACCGCTGAAAAGTCGGTGATATTATTTCCCTTAAGCTGTTTCATTTAACATTCGTTGTTGACATTTTAGATTAGATAAATCTGTTTTGCCTTAACATTATTAATAGGTCATATTGTTGTGACGGAGAGCGTTACGGTTTTGTTGAATGTTAGATGCAGTACCTATATCAGATAATGATCGTGGATCAAATCAGTGTAAAGTTCGTCAATTGTGCAACAGTTTGTAAAGATCCATAGCTGTTGATCATTGTAACTTTTGAAACAAATATAAGCATATCATAGCTGTAAAAATACAATTTTGACAAATAAAAGCTCTACAATCATTACACTAACGTGATTTTATTTACATAACCCACTCAAAAAACCTAATCGAGAAAAACAAAGGTACGTATTTTTTATAGAGTTGCTGCTACATAAAAAAAAACACCAATATGAGCCTTAAAATTGTGGACATTATTCAGGTGGTGTTTAATGAAAATTTTATTGCGTTAGTTCTTGTATTAATTTATTT